CCCCTTTCGCCACCGTCGCCCACCTCACCTGAGACCGAAACCCTACTGTAGAAATCACGCCTGCGCTGTCCCCGCCCTCATCCCAACAGTTCTAGGCCGCATGACTGACTGCGCCGTCTATGGTCTTCTCACCCACACTTCTCTCCTTCTTTCGGGGGAGGGGGGGGGAGGAGGGGGGGAGGGGGGGAGGGGAGGGGGGGAGGGGGGGGAGGGGGGAGGGGGGGAGGGGGGGGGGGGGGAAGGGGGGGAGGGGGGGGCTGATGGAGGGAGTTGGGTATCGAACCGAACCGCACCGTAAGCAGCAATACTATACCGCTTATACCGCTACTAGCGCAACGATGGAACCGAGGTATTACAACCGTGTATTTCGTCTCCTTGTCCAGGGTTCGGCCCTCCAGTGTCGTGTTGTAGGCTATGTATAGTTTCCCGAGAAAGGCCACCTCAGCCCGTAAGGGCTCAGCGCACGCTCTGTGTCAAAATCTACTCAGACACAACTTGCCCGGGTTGCCCAGATCCAGGATGGCTTGAATCTCGGGCCTGCAAGGTCCGGCTGGCTGTATGCTTTGGGAGCAGGGCTTTGAGATAATGATGACACTAGCGGCAGCATACTGCCGGAGCCATAACGTGACGATTTTGTGGAAATTCTTGCCGTCCTTATCAAGTTTGCTTCCCCCATGTCGTGCCTCCGCTCGGATTCCAAAGATTCAGGCGCATATCCACCAGGTCACAAACCTTGCGACACCAGCGAAACCTAGAACCCCAAGCCAAAAATCCTGAAGACTGAAACCCTAAAGCCCTAAGATCTAAGCCGCGAAGCCCAACGCCCTGCCCAAAACCCTCAAGACCTGCATAAAATGGAAACTGTGCGGCTTCATCATCCCAAGCACCACGGCCACGGCCCATTCCAAACAGAGTTGTTTGTAAACAGCCCTGGACAACTAAGTGAAATCTTGTATTGCAAGCTTTCCCAGATTCCCGACCCCCGCCCGGATTCTAATGAGTCTTCAACGAGTGGGGGTCAGGGGGGGAGGCTGGCTGGGCCTAAGGCTAGGAGGCGTAAAAAGATCTCGAAACCACCATATGGTATCCCTCCATGGGCTCCGAGATCCTTCTCGAACCTTGTGATCGACGCTAGCTCATCAAGAGTTCTACACTTCTACCCAGATTTCTGGGAGGATCCAAAAAAGAGCCCCCAAATGACCCTATACTACTATTGGGTCACTCTTAGGAACCCTCAAGGTTAACCCCAGCAATCGCCAAGCCCAAAAGCAGCCTGAGTGCCCCTCCCAAGTTGACGCTTTGCCACAGCGGCATCGCGCAGAATGGCCTCTGTTTGCTCCTGTTCATGGGACTCTAGCTTGGACACCTAAGGTTGGGCCCTTGGGTTTGGGTAACCGTTTTAAAGGTGCTCCAAGGGAACACAGGGGCCATAATCGGAGTACATTAAGGGAACCTCTTAGGGGTGCGAGCCTTAATCCCTTGATCTGTGGCGGATGATCCGAGCAAAACCCTGAACCCTCTAGACCCTGCTGAGAAATGGTGAGGGCAAGGGCTTGGAGGTTTCCAGCGGGATGCTCCAATCCAGGTCGTAAATTCTGAGCTTTGCCCCTTCAGAACCCTTCTAAACCCTGAACGATTTACTTGAAGGTTCATGAGTACTTCTGAGTAGGGTTATAAGTAGGATAACCCATTGGGGCTCATATATCCCTACTTATTTCTCCCCACGAACCTCAGGAACCTCCGCAGGGCCCCAAACTCTGCTACCCTGCTGCCCTGGGCAGCGCTTGCAGCCGCGGAAGCTTCGGAAACCAAGGGCGAGAGCAGTAATGCCATATGTTTTGGGGTTCAGCTGAGGGTTTTGGGTTTTGGGTTTTGGGTTTAGGGCTCTTAGGGTTTGGGGTTACCCCTTATTTAAAGTCTACGAACCCTAAACCCGACTTAGGGTTCTACGAACCCTAAAATCCAAACTCTACAGACCTAAAATTCTCGAAACCCAAAGTCCCATTCTCATGTTGGACGGGGTCATGTCGGTTTCGGCCTGAAGGTCAAGCTTGGGGGCTTAAGGTGTGTGCATATATCTATATATACACAAACACGTCAGCTAAAAATTAACGATCTAATTTACATATATTTATATGTATGTATGTATGTATGTATGTATGTATGTATCTATGTATGTATGTATGTATGTATGTATGTAATGTGGAACCAGATGTGGACTTACAACTAAAAACCCCCTAATCCCGAAACCCCTCGAGGTTTGGGTCTAAACCCCCAATCCTGTAGGGGTTTTGGGTCTGCGCTTCTTGAGTCCCTTTGGTTTTTTTTTTTTTTTTTTTTTTGGGGGGGGGGGGGGGCTTGCGTGATCCGTCAAGCCCTCCGCCCCCGAAGCAGAGTTAACGTAAATAGATGTGGTGTATATAAAGAACTATAACTTACAAAAGCATTTTACAAAACTCAAACTGAAATACGTACAGCTTGTAGAAAGGTAAGGCGTGTCCGCAGTTGAGGTTCTTGTCAGTCACGGCTTTTCTCCCCACAGCCAAGGCCCAGCGTCTCGGCCTGTGGTCCACCGCAGCTAAAGTAACGAAGTCCCTGCTGAAGGGCTTAGGGCTTGGGGTTTAGGGTTTAGGGTTTGGGGTTTAGTGTTTTGGCGAACCTTATACGCACAACATCTTTCCTACACTAAACCCCTCAACGATCAGACTTGCTGTGCACCCTATGCTTAGCACACCCACCTTTAACGTGGTACAGAATGGCGCTTTTAGCCACCTCTGGTAGAAGAACTAGGTTAGGGGTTGGGGATGCGGGCTGAAGGAATAGGGTTTAGAAAGTGGAAATGCTTGATGAACTTCGGGTTCAAATTCCAGTGCCATGCTGGGCTTGAAAGGCATTGTGTGTGTTTGAGGAGAAACACTCTCGTGATCCTTACTAAACCTCTTGCACCCGACAGCCCTATGAATATATCAAACGAAACCCTAAACCCTAAACCCTAAACCCTCAACCCTTAAACCCTAAACCCTAAACCCTAAACCAGGACTTCAGAAGGGCTACGGTCCGACACCCTGAACTGCTTTAAGAGGGAACGGCAGGGCATCCCAGCAACCCTAAACCCTAAACCCTAAACCCTAAACCCTAAACCCAGAAGGACCCCGTAAGACCCAAAGACCCTACTAACGCCCTCGTTTCTCCCTCTTATCGCCCTACTAAATCCCTATTTAGAACACCAACCATAACCCTACTAAAACCAACGATCGCCCTACAAAACCCGATTTAGACACCACAATAGGAGGGATTCAGTTAACAACATTAAGAACCCCATGAAAACCCTCAAGCCCTGCTATATGCAAGCCCTATTGTAACTCTACTAAAGCCCGATTATATTAAAGCTCTTTTATAACCCCACTAAGGCCTTTGTTTCTCCCTACTTTCGCCCTATTAAAGCCCGATTATGTACCATGAACTAGGGATCAAACCCCTTCTAAAACTGAGCCCTAAACCCTAAACCCTCTAACCCTAAATCCTAAACCCTAAATAAAACCCCAGCCCGACTATATGTATGTATGTATGTATGTATGTATGTATGTATGTATGTATGTATGTATGTATGATGTATGTATGTATACATATATATATATATATATATATATATTATACCACAAAGAAGGGATCCCTTTGGATCGTGGCTGTTGTCATTTGGACGACCTCCTGGTTTCCAGGAGCCGGCAAAGGTGAAACGAAGTTCGTGCGCGGGGGCGGAGTCGGAGCAATTCAAGTCCGAGGGTTTAGGGTTTGGGGTTTGGGGTTTGGGGTTTGGGGTTGAGTGCTTTGAGGTTCAGGGTTTCGGATTCGGGGTTTAGGGCGCAGGGTTTTGAGTGTCGGGCTTAAGAACGAAGGCGTTGATGCTTAGGCTGAAAGACCGGGGCTCGCTTAGCTTTCTAGTTCATAGTACGGAATAAGCAATCTGGTACCTCCAGCCCCCCGACGACAATGTACCTCAAACCCTATACCCTTTGAAAGGCTGATACAGGGTACTTCCTTCCCTAAAGTAGGGAACTTTGTACCTTGTATGATCCTATATCTAGTCTGTATAGCCATGCCCTCCAGGGCAGTTGCCGTGTGCTTTTAGGGTTCAAGGTCGCAGAGTGTAGAGTGTCAACCTCTGCCTCATGAAGCCCCAAACATGCATCAGAGCATAGGCCCGAAATCCAAAACGTAGAAACTCTAAGCCCTGAAGACCGAAGCCCTAAAAACCCTGAACCTTGGAACCCTAAACCTTCAATTAAAACCTTTTTAACCCTAAAACTTTCAAACCTAAACCTCTAAGCCCCAAAAAGACTTAGACCCAAAAAAGGACAAAACCCCCCCCCAAAAAAGCTAGAAACGAAACACTAAACCCCAAAAAGACCAAACCCCCCAAAAAAACCTAGAAACCAAGCCTTTGGCAGCCGAAGCTCTAAGGGGCCCGGGCCTTCGAATCGGAGCTCCCTTCCCTAGTTGGGTTGAGAATTTAGGGTTTAGGGTTTAGGGATTCGGGTTTAGGGTTTAGGGGTTTAGGGTTTAGGGTTTAGGGCAACCCCCCAAGCGTGGGGCTCAAGTTGACAGACTGGTCCGACTCCGACCCTGCGGCTGCTCGAAGCATGTTGTGAGCTCCCGAGCCCTTGGCCCGACGCTTTTGCAACCCTGGGGGGGTTTAGGGTTTAGGTTTAGGGTTTAGGGTTTAGGGCAACCCTAAACCCTAAACTTGAAGCCCTAAACCCTTTAGCGTAGAGCTTCTGGGGGCAAGGATGCCCCTAAAAGCGTCTAAGGTTGAAATGTTGGCCTTTGTTGCTTCTGGCCACCCGAGGCTGCACGAAATCCACTTAGGACAGGGTCCCCTCAGCCAAAGCCCCAAAACCCTAAAACCCTAGCACCCCAGAAACTTCGGTTCCGGATTTCTCAAGCCTCAAGAATAAACTCTACACACTAAACCCTCGAATGCCAGTGATGGAAGCTCAGCGTCACGACTGGAAAGAAACGCTCAGGGACATGTTCAGCTTTGGCGAAAACTTCGACACATCCTCGCTTCAACAGGGGCTTTCGCATTAGATAGGCCAAAAAGCCTAAACCCTAAACCCCACACTCTAAACCCCTAATTAAGCCCTAAACCCTATATAGGGACGCTGCTGCACGTGAAAAACATCGCTACCGATCCTTGTGGCACCTGCCTACACTTGATTGGTTTAGGGTTTAGGCACCCTAAACCCGAAACCCTAAACCCTAAACCAAATCATGTGCGTCCTTCACCTCCTCCTTCGGGGAATCTTCTTCTTTCGGGGAGCCGGGCTCATCTGTACCTCGGATGCGGGGGTCCCAGGTTAGCTCGAAGCCTCCAAACGGTTGTTATAGGGGTCTTCAGGGAGGGCAGGTACATAGGGAACTTTATAGGGAACTTTAGGGAAGCTAAGGGTTTAGGGTTTAGGGTTGAGGATTGAGGATTGAGGGTTTAGGTTTTAGTGTTTAGGGAGCCTTAGGAATGGAGAACTAAGGAGCCTTGGGTTACATGTCACCCTTGAACCCCTCTCCCTTAAGAACTCTATAAGGTTGGGTTCTTACGAATAAAGGCTCGCAAGGCCTGGCGGTCCTTTGGAGTCCCTGACCTCAGACGTTTTTTCGGGATTTCGGGGTTTAGGGTTTAGCGTTTAATCACTCACGCTCGGACAAGCCAGGCGAGGCACACACACTTGTCCCAAAGTCTCTCTGTAGAGGCCCGATTCGGCCCAAGTGATACACTCAGCGGCCTAGCGCCACTTCGGTTTAGGGTTAAGGGTCGGTCAAAGGTCGAGGGCTTCTGGGGCTACACCGCTAGGCACATTGTTCCAGATGTCAGCCATCCCCAGAGGTATTCATGACACGGGGTCCTGCTATGACTCGGCAATAGGCAACAGTCGAATCGTTCAAGACTCACAAGCTGAAGACCTGCTTCCAATAAACTTTTCTAACCATCAAGCGCGGTCGAGGTACGGAAGCCGCCCTGCAGCTTCGTCGCGAAGTCCTGGCTTCCCGCCCTCAACCCCTCTGAGGGTACTTTCATGGGCCCTTGATATGGTAGGGTTTAGGGTTTGGGGTTTAGGGTTTAGGGGGTTTAGGGTTTAGGTTTTAGGGTTTAGGGTTAGGATTAGGGTAGCTTCGTGGCCCTGAATATGGTCGCTAACCTCCTTTGAAGGGTTCTGATGTATGGGAACAAATTCCCCAAACAGTCTACTGTTCGGGTTCTAAATTCATTCAAAGATTACCGACATTCTGAGGACTGTTGCCGGGTTCCGGGCTCCTTGTCTCCCTTTGTCTCCCTTTGTCTCCCTTCGTCTCCCGTTGTCTCCACTGCTTCTTTGATGTGCCTGTGACTGTTTGGGGTCTTCGGTGGTGTAATTTGTGTAGGGGATAAAAGGGGTATACAAGGGGTCCCCCTTTACTAAGGCCCATACTAACGAACCATGGAACTACCCCTAGAACCCCTACGCAGCCGAAACCCCAAGTACGAAAGTACCTTGACGGGACCCTATGCCAGCCCCGCAGTGCTATCCCTACCTTAAACAACCCTAAACCCTGAAGTTTAATCGTGTTTTGGGGTACATTGTTTTCAATTGTTTGTAAATCTTGGGATTCTAAGCAAATACGATGAATACCTAGTGTTGCTCCACACCCCCCAACAAAAACCCAACACAAAACCCAACATAGCCTTCTATATGAACTACAAAAACCCAACAAAACCCCCACAAAAACCCTCTACATAGCCTTCTATATGAACTACTTGAGGCTTTCATTTGTTGGGGTCACTGCCGGAAAGGTCTGGAAGGCAGTAGGCAAGCAGTAGCATCTTGCGGATGATCGGGTTTGGGGTTTGGGGTTTGGGGTTCGGGGTTCGGGGTTTGGGGTTTAGGGTTTAGGGTTTAGGGTTTATGGTTTCGGCTTTAGGGTTCAGGGTTTTTTTTTAAACTGGAATCGCCCAAAGGCGGGACGGATAACGTCCTCCAGTGGTGAAACTATGCCCAGCACTCACACTGGTAGCCAAAGACGACGACCACCCGCCATAGAAGCCCATCCATATCCAAGCATCAGCTTTACTTCATGTACTTCACGTATTCCTCCTCAGTTCACTTCACACCAACACCGCAAGTACATCACCCCGGCCATGAAGCACGAGCCAGTTCACGCTCCACCTTCTCCTCCACCCCAATGGCCTCGGACATCTCGTTCACGTCTACCCATCCTCCAGGCATCTGGCACACTCCGTCTCTGCGAGGCATGCGATGAACGGAACTCCCAAGTTTGTGTTGGCCCGCCCACACCGTGCCCGAAACCCAGTCAACCTCGTAGAAGTCGTTGCTCTTCGCTTCCAGCTGGACTTCCCCGGTGGCTTCCTCCACACATGTCTGGGCAACCCGCCTCACCATACAGGCATGTCCCCCTCTTTGCCTGGCTTCTCGCGTCTTCACGAAGGATGCCCAAAGCTTCTTGGGCGCGGCCTCCACTGTATCTGTGGACTTCAACGGGATGGCAGCCTCACGAACGGCCTTCACAACAGACCACATGCGCTCACGCAGTTGGAACTTCGTCTCACCCTCACGTAGGCCAAAGCGCAACATACCGAAGGACTTCCTCGGGCCGAACACCACCAGGTCGCTGGAGTCAATGCGGGGTCTCACCGCTTCCAACCCCAACCCCTCCTTCGCTTCCTCCAGGATGGTTTCCTTCCGAGTGTCTCGCAGCCACCCCCCAACGATGAGGGTCCTTCGGTCCTCCTCCCTGAGTAGTCCCCCTTCAGAACCATGCCCGCCACCACCCCAGCCACCACCATCACAAGCTCCAGAAGCACTGCGACGAAGAAAAGCTTGCCGGCCAGGAGCCTTCAAGTCCCTATCTCCAGTCCAGACACCCATCCCTCCTTTGCCAGCGTTGGCACGAAGCAGGTCAAGCTCCTTGCTCAGCATATCCATCTTCTTCTCCATGATGCCAATCTTCGCCCACAAGCTCCCCGCACGCCTCTCCTGGTAGTTGTGCCCATCCACCAGCTTTGCCAGTCTTTCCGCCTGTTCGGACTGACGATGTTCCAGACCCTCCACTCTCGCAACGACGTCACCCCAGGCAAACTTCATGGAGGTCATATGCTCAGCCAACACTGCTCGGATGGCGTCTACATCTCTCAACCCCAAGCCACCTCCAGCACTTCGACGCACGTAGGTCGCCCTGTCCGCTCTTTGCTTCGTGGGACTTGCTTCATTTGAGCACCTGCCCCTCTCCTCGTCCTCGGTGACCTCCTCCACCTCCTCGCTGTCCGAAGCTGTCTCAGTCGGAGAGGGACCATCCATTTCCACGGGTGTCGCCTCCGCCATTGTCCTGCTGTCCAGCACCACCAAAGGATCGCCCCCTCAGCAACAGTGCCACCTTTACGAACAGGTAGACGCGGAACGCCCCCACCCACTCACCACCCATCAGACCAGGAAGTTCACTCCGTCTGTGTCCTTGCCACTTATCACGATCACACCAATGCCCTCGACAAGCTCCCAGCGTACCCGCACTCCCCCTCCCAGCGTACTCGTAGCCCGGGACAAACACCCCCGCGTAGTATCGCCGATGCCAATGTGGTAGTTGGTGACAACCTCCCCGAGGGACAGCTAGTAGCAGCAGCGGTTCACGATGTCACACAAACTCAACAAAGACGATGTAGTCAACCCGCAGCAGGAAGATCAGCCAAGTCACGAACTTGCCCTTCACGAAGCACAATCCAACCCTCGAGGTCTACACAAACACCCTCCTTAAGCCAAATCCTTGAGCCAAAATGGCTACGGCTCAAGGGGTTCAGGGTTTAGGGTCTAGGCGGTCTAGGGTTTAGGGTTTAGGGTTCAGGGTTTAGGATCCTCTAGAGACCCATTGCGCGTTGCCCAGCTCTGCGTTGAGGAACGGCGCCTTGGTTTGGCGATGTGGAGCTGCTCGGCGTTGTGGAGGCCCTTTGCGAGCTCCCAAGCCCGAAGTCACCAGCGAAACCCGAAACCCGCAGAACTCTCGGGTTCCGGCTGAGTTCTTTTCTTGCCGAGCCTTCACAAACGCCGCATTCGAGCCACCCTTGTCCTTGGGCATCCACGACAACCCGCGCAATTGTGGTGGTCGCGACCCGCCGGTCATGATGAGAATACGTGTCATGTCGCCTTCCTCGGTGGATGAAATCTTCGGTGGATGAAATGATGAGAATAGTAATAGGGCTTAGGGGTTGAGGGTTTAGGGTCCTCTACCTTTACCAAGCCCCACGCGCAGCATGTGCCCAAAATAAGAAACAAAAACCTCTTAACTAGCCCATGATCCCCTTACCTATGTACTATTCTCTGTCCTTCAATGAGGTCCATATAAGAACACGCCCTAAGAAAACTCTACCTTAGCACAAACCCCATGTATGTGTCCTTCAGAAACCCTGAGCCTGAGGCCGAAATACCTTCAGCCCCCAAACCCTCAAGCCCTGAAAACCAAAAAACGACAGTATGTCGTAAAACAATAAAGAACCAAAAACCGCAAACCACAACACCATAATGCCCTTTTGCCTGAAACTCTAGAGCCCTAAACCCTAAAACCTTGCACCACCTAAACCCCTTAAATCCTGAAACCCTAAAACCCAAAAATCTCAAAGCCCCCAAACCCGAAAACCCGAAAGGCCTAAAACCCCTAAACCCTAACACCCATAAACCCTAAACCGAAAAAACCTAAAACCCCAAAACCTTAGCATCCTAAACCCTTAAAACCCTAAAGCCTTAAAACCCTGAAACTTTAAGATCCTGAAACCTTAAAATCCTAAAACCCTGAAACCCGTAAACCTAAAAATCCAAAAACCCAAAAGTCCTAAACCCCGATACCCTTCAAACTCTTGGGCGGCCAAGCGACGTGCAGGACCCTAAACCCTAAACCCTAAACCCTAAACCCTAAACCCTAAACCCTAAACCCTGAATAATGGGGAACATCCCAACTCTTGGGCGGCCAAGCGACGTGCAGGTTGGAACCGGCTAATTGGAGCTTCTCCAGCTGGGCCTCAAGAGCCTCCTGGGAAGAAGGTTGACGGTGAAACCCCTCAACCCTAAACCCTGAACCCTAAACCCTGAACCCTAAACCCTGAACCCTAAACCCTTTTAGGGTTTTGGGAATAGGGTTGATGGTTTAAAAAGTTTGCGTACAAGCAGGGTTGTGGGGAAAAAGCCTCGGCTTTCTGAACTCGGAGGTGAGGAGCTCGGCGAAGTAACTCGACCCCCTGAGCCTGTGCTCCTTCTTGCGTTTAGGGTTTTTAGGGTTTAGGGTTTAGGGTTTAGGGTTCAGGGTTTAGGCTTTAAAGCTTAGGGTTTAGGGTTTAGGATTCATACGGTTTAGGGGTTTTTGGCCTGTCTGGAGAGCGGGAACCTCCCCTGAATGGCAGGAAAGCCCCTATGTGACCTGAAGCCTGAGGCCCAAAACCCCGAAACCTGAAAGTTCAAGAAACCTTTCTAGTCTTTTTCGGAAATAGAGGTTAGGGTTTAGAACGTAAGGCTTAGGAAACCCTAAACACTAAACCCTAAACCCTAAGCTGTGTGGACAAGGGCGCCCCTACAACTTGGAGTACGGGTCGGCCATGTTCTCAGTTGTGAAATTGGGCCCCGAACCGGTTGTGGGAGCGGTCGGTACTTGAGGCCCTAAGCCCTAAGCCCTAAGCCCTAAACCATGAGCCCTAAGCCCTAAACCCTAAGCCCTAAACCCTAAACCCTGAACCCCAAAGGAGGGCTCTGTGCCTGCCGGAGCTGCTGCGGGTGACAGATCGCTGGTAAGATTGGGGGGTTTTGTGGCTGCGGCTGGTACTGCTGGGTTTGAGGAGGTGCTTCCTGCGAGGCTGCTTTGGCTGCTAGGGCTGGGGTGCATAGGGTTCTAGACCCTAACCCCTAAACCCTAGTTAAACCCTAAACCCTAAACCCTACATGGCCACCTTCTACTTCGGACCCTCCATCCCTCAACAGCTTTTTCTTGGCTTTAGCCACCCTAAACCCTAAACCCTAAACCCTACACCCTACACCCCAAACCCCTGAAACCCTAAACCCTAAACCCTGAACAGCTCAAGGCCCCCGAGAAACAAAAGCTTCGTGGCCTGACCGAGCTGGCAGCGTGTCAGATTGCACCTGGCAGAGAGGCGCGAGACCGGAAATTCTGGGTTTAGGGTTGAGGGTTTAGGGTTTAGGGTTTAGGGCTCAGCTAAGCCCTCCTAAGCCGCGCAACCCCAGAGACTCACTTCGGAGGTCGCCCCTGACAATTTCAAGGCTAGTTGCGGGCTCAGAGATGCATTCTATAAGCCTTGGGATGTTCTCCCTTATACTCACAGTCCTTCATGGGATTCTACTGGGGAGGGGGGGGGTACTAAATTCCTAAATAGGGACTGTTCGTATAAGGGGAAACATCCCCAACCTAAACCCGAAGCCCGAAGCCCAAAGCCTTACATGAACAAAGCCCATACACTCTACAAACACCAGACCCTGTGGCCGATGAGATGCGAGGTGCCGAAATGTTCAAGCCCGAAAGAGCGCGCCAGGTTCCCCAGAAAAACCAAAAACCCCACCCCGAATTCTGCAGGTGAGGGTTTAGGGTTTAGGGTTTAGGGTTTAGGGTTTAGGGTTTAGGGTTTAGGGTTTAGGGTTTAGGGCATAGGGTTTAGGTTCTAAGGGGCCAGGGTTACCTAAATGACGCTGAAAAACCCTTCAACCCTCAAGCCGCAAGCCGGCTTCAGCTAATCAGCACAGGAAGGAGATGTAGAAAAGAACACACTCAAGCGACAATGCTGCCAAACTTAACCCCAAACCCCAAACCCTAAGCCTAAAGCCAAGAAGCGTAAAAGCCTAAACCCTAACCCTCAAACCCTAAACCCTAAACCTCTGAACCCTATGAACTCAAGCCCTCGGCCCAGTAGACCACGGCTGACAGGCCTCTGGGCTGCCCAGATGCTCGAGTGCAAAGTGAGCCTGAGTGGGGGTCTAAAGGTTTAGGGTTTAGGGTTTAGGGCTAGGGTTTAGGGTTTAGGGTTTAGGGTTTAGGGTTTAGGGTTTAGGGTTTAGGGTTTAGGGTTTAGGGTTTAGGGTTTAGGGTTTAGGGTTTAGGGTTTAGGGTTTAGGGTTTTAGGGTTTAGGGTTTAGGGTTTAGGGTTTAGGGTTTAGGGTTTAGGGTTTAGGGTTTAGGGTTTTAGGGTTTAGGGTTTAGGGTTTAGGGTTTAGGGTTTAGGGTTTCGGGTTTAGGGTTCGAAGCGGAGCATGCAATGTCCCCAAATATTCCCGCATACTCCCTACAGTATTTGGGCTCCCTAGGTACCTCCCTTTTAAGGATCTCGGAGGCTAAGCCCTGAGCCCGAAACCGTAAGACCGCCCTGACATCACCGCCCGAAATCCCTGGGATGCTGCCCCTTTCACTAACAGTCCCTAACAGGGATTAAAATAAGGGGTACGATAATCCCTATTAAGGACGGTTAGTATAAGGGATAACATCCAAACCCCTAAACCTAAACCCCGCAGCGGGGTTACTGTTCTTGGGCTTCAGCAATTGGGAGAATAGGCCCGGGAGGGGGGGGGGGGGGGGGCCTCAAAGGCTCTTAAACCCTAAACCCTGAACCCCTTATCCTAGCCCCTAAACCCCATGATGTAGGTGCCCACGCCGGTTCATCACAATCATCTTCCTGGGCGTTTGGGGGGGGTTGTTTTTGAGGCTCAGGAGCTTACTAAGGGTTTGGTTAAGATTTAGGGTTTAGGGTGACGTAGGGTTCAGGTCTTTTTTTCGGGTTCAAGGTGTAGGGATTTGTGCTGGCAGTGGTTGAAGGCTTGGGGCTTTCCGCGTTCTAGAGGCAACACGCGCGGCCTACATATATGCAAAGAATATCACCCTGCAACCCCCAGCAACGCCCAGATAATGTGATCAGACAACTACCCATCAGACACATTCGAATTAACTAGGCTCCTACATTGGGATGTTCCCGTTGTTACTAACAATCCTTAATAGGGATTATAGTAACCCCGATTATACTCGCTGTTAAGGACTGCTAGTATGACCCACCCCCCGCACCATAAACACTAAACTCAAATAACCCGGATTGAACAGACTGCAGGTGACCACAAGCGCAGTAAGTTTGCGGGCTCAGGGTAATTTTAGGCTGTTTGTGAAGAGGGATGTGGGGGTTATGGGGTTTAGGGTTTAAGTTAGGGTTTAGGGTTTTGGCCGCTCTTTTGAGTCTTCCTTCTCAGGCTGTCGGAAGGAACTGGCTTTGGGGTCTCAGAAGGCCTCTTTAACCCTAAACCCTAAACCCCTAAGTCCCTGAAGCGTTCTCAGGGCGGCCAGAGGTGCGTATCGTGCTGCAACAGCGGTTCGTTCGCCTCAGGATCCGACGGAGAACTCTGAGCTCGAAAGCTCGAAGCTGTTTGTATAGGGTTTAGGGTTTAGGGTTTAGGGTTTAGGGTTTAGGGTTTAGGGTTTAGGGTTTAGGGTTTAGGGTTTAGGGTTTAGGGTTTAGGGTTTAGGGTTTCGGGTGTGTCAGGGGAGGGCACGCGCTCGGGTGTGAAACACCCCAGGCCGCGCGCTCGCGTTGCCCGTCAACCCACCCCGGCCACCCAAACTATACTCTATTAGGGTTTAGGGTTTATGGAATTTATTTTCTCGTGCCCTGATCCCCTTCTTTTAGGGGCCTTTTGAAGCCTTTTGAAGCCTTTTGGTGGCTCTTGGGGTCTCTCGCCCTGTTCGGACCTTCGGCGTGTCAGAGGCCGTAGAGGCTTTATTCATTTGAAGGTCAGGGAACCTATAAGTTTTTTTTCGCAATGCGTATTTCAATCGCTAGGGTTTAAGCTGGGGTTCGGGGTAGCCTCGGCCCTTTTCGGGCCTTCGGCGCGTTAGGGCCCGTAGAGGCCCTTATTTGCTTGAAGGCCTTCGCAGGGTTTTGCGGTGTTAGGGTTTAAGCTGGGGTTCGGGGTACTCGGCCCTTTTCGGGCGTTCGGCACGTCAGGGCCCGTAGAGGCCCTTGCTGATTTGGGGGTTTCCTGGGCTTTCCTGGTCCTTTTCGGGTGAAATGGAGGGGCGCCCAAAACCATCGAGTTCAGCACTAAAAA